ATACAGTGTGTTCATGTGTTCATACAGTGTGTTCATGTGTTCATACAGTGTGTGTTCATACAGTGTGTGTTCATGTGTTCATCCGGTGTACAGGCAGGTACTGGGAGACCGTGCAGCGTCTGAGGATCAGTCAGTTCTACGGGGCTCCGACGGCTCTGCGTCTGCTGCTGAAGTACGATCAGAGTTGGGTGAAGAAGTACGACCGCTCGTCTCTGAGGACGCTGGGATCAGGTCACATGTTCTAATCGTTCTAATGTCCTCAGGTTGGACTGAGACTGTGAGATAAGATTTAATGATTTCATTCTTCGCCTTTATTCTTACGTCACACACAAACTGGTCTAATATTAAACTGAAGATCAATAATCAGCCTATTGATGAGCCACATTAGAAAGCCATTAACTGATTGTAGCAGAAGCTCTTTCATGACTTTAAAATGAAGGTGGAGGAAGTAATAGTACTGCTGCGTAATTATAAACTAATAGTGTCAGATAAATGTAGTGGAGGAGCTCTCTCACTAGTTTTAAAATGAAATAAAAAACACTTATCACTTTAACGTTTTAATTTGGAGTGATGTTATATTGTTAGTTTCTGTTTACTTTCTTTAATCATTGTGTCCTTTGTATATTGTATTCATTGTTGTTCATTTAGTGTTTATGTGTTTGTGTTTGGGCTGCGTGTTTGTATGAAAGCAGTGGAAGTGAACAGTACATTGACTTATAGACTGATTCTAATGATGTGTGTGCAGTGGGGGAGCCCATTAACCACGAGGCCTGGCACTGGTTCCACAGTGTGGTTGGAGACGGACGCTGTCCTTTAGTGGACACCTGGTGGCAGACAGGTGAGACACACACACACACACACAGGTGCCATGGTAACCTGCAGGTTGATTTACACACATACAAAAGACCAATTAAAGTTTCCTCATTAATAAAGAAAAATATATTAAACATTGTTCAGTGATTGGTCGATACAGAATAACCATATCACACCAAACTCCATGGAAAAAAAGGCTGATTTAAAGGGTGTGGCGAGACAGGAGGACAAAACTACACCAAATAGATCAAATTGGTTTAAAAATGAGAACCAGGACAAAACTGGGAGATTCTGTTGCCACGGGAACAAGAGTTAGGTGAATAAAACCCAATAAAGTGTTCATTTCTTTAACGGCAAACGTTTAATAATATAACGTCAGATTTCTCTGAACATTGTTGGAAACATTTCCTCGTCTGTCTGTCAGTGTGTTTGTGTGTCCGACTGTAAGTCCGTCTGATTCTCTCTTTACTGGAGCTTTAACCCTAATTTGAACGATTAGCAGCAGAACATCTGCAGCTCTGCAGAAAATGAATTAAGATCAAATCCTCAACACACTTATCTACACCCCAACCCCCCCACAACCCCCCAGGACAAGACAGCGGAGGATCACTGACGGCAGTGTGAGAGTGTGTGTGACCTAATTCCTCAACGTTGTTTTTAAATCAGATTTTAAACTCTCTGCCAGCTGCTTCTTTCTCTTAAAAGGAGAAAAATCCCCAATAAATTAAGAAATTAAAGGAAATTAAAGCTGCAGAGAGAAGCAGCATCTGAGGCCCTCTAGTGGCAGCCGGGGGTAACTGTTACTGCCCCCCCAGAGAGGACAAACTGCACATATATTCATGTTTCTTTAATTATTCACATTATAAGTGTCTTCAACATTAAAACAGTCACATGTATTCATAGAATAGAGGTTGATATCAGCTGTGTTCCTGCCTGGTTCAATATTTACTGAACAAACACTCTCTTTGAAGAATTTCCCCAATAGAGGATAAATAAAGTATGTTTCCTCTTCTCTCATATGAAGTAATGAATGTTGTCCTCCCTCGTCTCCCGTAGAGACCGGTGGCGTCTGCATCGCCCCTCTCCCTGCAGAGGATGGAGCTCCCATCATCCCAGCGATGGCGATGAGGCCGTTCTTTGGCATCCAGCCGGTTCTCGTGGGAGAGAAGGTGACCTGAGAACAGAGCTCGTTCACAGTTGGTTCAGCCTTCTAAGAACCAGTTTGCTCTTCCATAGAGCCACTACATTACGTCACTAACTCCAACTACAGCTGTTGTTACCAAGGTTACGTTAGCTGTTGGCATAGCTACTAATTTCAATGAATGTTACAAATTTTGAATGTAACATTACAGCTAGCAATAGCCAGCTAGCCCAATGCTACGTTTGTAACGTCTATGTGCTAACTTCCTAAAAAGGGAACTCTTCAACCATTTGGACCAATCGAGTTCTCAATCAGCTTCAGATCAGATCATCAATCTCTGCGTCTCATTAACCCCACTTGACCTTTTGATGTGAGAGGTCAAACGAGCCCTCGAGTGACGCCCCTCTCTCTCTCTCTCTCTCTCTCTCTTTAATCTTTCCATTAAAACGGGACCAGCAGCATCTGTTTGCTTTGATTAACAGACTTTCAGGCTCTGTTGGGAAGATCGCTGCTGCCCCAAATTAATTATTCGCTAGTTTCCCTCCTCTGTTGAAGAACCGTAATCTGCAGCGGTCGAGGGTTTTAGATTAGATTAGATTAGGTCTCCTTCAGTTTCACATTTCATCCTCAGAGGAGGTCGAGGTCACTTTCACTGCAATCCTCTCAGAGTTAACTGCAGCCGCTGATCAACTCTGCCCGTTTCATTTGTGCCATTTAACACCAAACTCGACGAATTCACTCAATGACACCGCCTTTCTTCTAGAGGAGACAGAGACCCTACAATGTTCTTGTGTCCCGAATTTTATAAACCAGTTGCTGCAGTCAGCTGCTCTAAAGCTCCAATATCATATATCACATATATCACATATATTATATCCACAATATATCATATTATATTATTACATATATCATATATATCCACATAATATCACATATAAATTAACATATAATCATATAGATCACATAATATATCACATATTAATATATTACATATATCACATATATATTACAATATATCATATATTCCATATCATCTCACATATATATTACATATATCACATATATCATATATAACATATGATCACATATATATATTAATATATATTAACATTATACATATTATTCCATATATATTACATATATCACATATATATCACATATATGTCACAATTATTGACATATATCACATATATAATTAATTACAAATATATATCAACATATGAATCAATATAATTACATATATATTACATATATCATATATATACAAAATATTACATATATCACATATATAATCACAATATATAGCACATAATAATACATATATCACATATATAGTTAATATATCCATATATATTCACATATATTTCACATATATTAGTTAACGATAATTACATATATCAAATCATATATCACTATATCCACATAATATTTAATATATGATACAAAATCACATATATATCACATATATCTCAACCATATAATAATATTACATATACACATACATATATATCAAATATATCACATATATCATCACATAATATATTACATAATCACATATATCAAATATATATCCATATATCAATCACATATATATCAAAATAATCCACATATACTCAATATAGTATGAAGTCTTTCCACTGGATGTTATTACCAGGGGAGCTCTGTCCGTAACTCTGTTCAGCCGGCGGCTCTGTGTATCAGCCAGCGTGGCGGGATGGCTCCCGCAGTATCTACGGGACCCACCAGAGATTCCATCGGGCCGTATTTCCCAAACGTATCTGGTCAGTGAAAGTGAAACCAGGCAGGTGTTCATTCAGTTGTTCAGCCTTGTTCAGCGCCTGTTCTG